TCCCTCCCTCCCGATACAGAGCCTCATGTATCCTAGTTTGGCCTCAAACTTCATATGTAGCTGAAGATTATCTTGAATTCCTGTTCCTCTTGTTCTGTTTCTGGAAGGCTGGAGTGACAGGCGTGGGTTCTACTGTCCTAGGATCCAGCCCCAGGTTTGTGTGCTAGGCAAGCACTTACCACCTGAGCTCCAGCTCTAGCCCCTTGTTGTCATCACAGAACACTTAGGACACTCCTGGTTTTAGGAGCTATCAGGACAGTATGGCAGGCACGGCTCCATCCACAGAACAGTGGCTGGTGGCATCCTTTGTTCATATCTTGGTAGAGGTGGAACCAGGCTTAATTCTTCTAAACTTACCATCCCTGACCTTCCTGTTGGCCAGGGTTACTGGCGAGAAGTTTCACAACCCCTCCAAAGAGTACCAACTCCCTAGGAGCCAACTGTTAAAACATATGTACCTGTGGGGGCATTTTACATTCAAGTCGTGACATAGGATTTCACTCTGTAGCTGAGTGTGTGCCGCTGTGTCAGACATAACAAAGTGCATGAATGTTTGTATGGGTAAATGCCATCTGAGTTTAGACAAAGCCATGTTCTAAGCAGTCCATCTTATTATAGCCTTTTACTTGCTCTTTTGGCATCATGAATAGTAAATGGGGTAGAGTCCTCTGCCTCTTCATGTCAGTGAAAAGTGACTGAAGAGTTTTATGGTATTATTGTACCATAAAACCCAAAACATGGGAGAGTCTGCAGTTGATAACTTTGATTTCCTGTGTTTTTGATTTTTGTTAGATATAAAATTATAAAAGTTGTATATTATTGCTGACTTATTTGTAACAGCATAAAAAACAAATATAAAAGACTACATCTTAATAGATTTAATTTCTGGTGGTAGGGATATGGGTCAGTGTAGAGGATTTCCCTCACATGCTTAAGGCCCTGGGTTCAAACCCTAGCAACACAGAACAAAGAGTTTCTGATTTTAGAGAGAATTTAAGTTCAGCTGCAATTCAAGACTGTGATAGAGTGTTTTACCTGCCATATTCCCTCTTTCCCTCAATTTTGTTTTAAAGTTTGAGACAGTTTCTCTGTGTAGCCGTGGCTTTCCTGGAAATCACTATGTAGACTAGACTGGCTTGGAACTGTAACACATCCTCCTGCTTCTCTCTCCTCAGTTCTGGGATGCTCAGGGCATGCACCACTATGCGTGCCACTTTTCTTGCTTTTTGTTTTAAATTCTGAACGCTCAACTTAAATGTCTCAGTTTTTAAATTTTTTAAATACTTTTTTGAAAAATTATTTATGTGTATAGTGAATCTTGTTATTATCTATTTTCTGTTCCTTTTCTTTGCCACCAAGCCAGCACATCTCCTCTCCCCCAACGTCTATTCTTTAATTATTTTGTTTAAATTGTATTAATCATTGATCTCTCCCACTTACTTTAATAGACGTCATTCCTAACTCTGTTGTTGATTTGGGTGGATATAAGTGGCTGCCATTTATATATA